CTTAGTGCAGTCTTCGATCGCACATAGCCATAGTACCTCTTGGGTTCCTGGCGCGCTCTCTTGATGATTTTAACCTCGAAGGTCATTTTCGCCTGTTTTACTAGCTTGTTTGCATAGTTTCTCGCCTTCTTATATTCGAGCGATCGTTCATGTCCTCCTGAGAGAAAAAATGCATTCCACCTACGAGTCCTTTCCCCTATGGCTCGTTTGATGGCCGGCTTCCACCACTGCGGTTTGTGGGTATCCCCCTGAGGCTGCAAGGAAGCATGCCTCTCCGTCAGCTCTAAAAGCTGGTCGAGGATGATTCCCCTTCGTTGATCGACGGACGCTTCTGTTCCCTGCGGTAACCATGCTCTGGCTTGAGCATCTCGCTTCAAGTCCTCTACGTTCATGCGTCCGAAATTGCGGCACCACCTGCGGGGTGGCTTTTCCTTCGCAATGCATGTTTCTAGCAGCAGCACATTGTGATCACTTTTACCGAGAGGAACCTCCTGTCTTAGGTCGCTGATCTCACTTTCTTGCCGAGTGAGGACCAGATCCAAGGTAGACGGTCTCTGCCCTAGCCGGATACGCGTTGGTTCTCTCACGTGCTGGTAGAGTGATGCCGCATGGAAGCAATTCATGAATTCATGTTGCACTTACCCCTCACCCTCGTCTTCGAACTGCCATTCTATTCCGGGTAGATTAAAATCTCCCACTATAATCGGAGAGTGCTTTCCCCTACCGACAGTGGTAATGAGATTTATTAACGCATTATGATCCTCCGGTCTGGAGTTTGGTGATCTGTAAACACCTAATATGCAAAAGTGTCGGCCTCTGTTTATTACGATGCAGCCTGTAGCTTGCACCGTTGGTCAGGTCAGGTCAGGTCAGGTTGCACAAGACTGGTAGTGGCCACAGGCCAATCAAGCGTCCAGAATTCCTTCGGTGGTGTGCTCACGAGTGTGCGTTCATCTCTGCAATTGATCGGTTTCTCTTTCTATCTACAAACAGAGAGAAAGCGAGCCTTTACTTCTCGCCGTGTCGGCGAGACTTTTGTTGTGAAAGCGTTCCATATTACATAAAAATAATTAGTGCACCTAACATTCTACGTCAGCGAAGACCTCCAACCATCTGGCGTCCAGGGTTCTTTTAAAGACTTGGACGTTTGGCTGCATAATCAGTTCTGACGGTAGCTTATTCCAATTTTCCACTATCATATTTCCAAAAAAATGTGCTCGTAAGTTCAGCCCAGAAGGCTGTTTCATAAGTTTGAGCTCATGTCCACGCGTTCCTTGGTGGGGAGCCTTAGTGCAGAAGGACCCGGATCTAAACCCATCAAATTTTTCTTAATCTTAAATACTGCGATGAGGTCTCCGCGCAATCTCCTTTTTTTCTAGCGAAAAAAGACCGAGCGCATACAA